CCAACGGCAGGAAGAACTTTCTCTCTGTCTCTCTCTCACTGTCTATAACTCTACATGTCAAATAAAAAAAAATGTTCATGTAAAATGGAATTCAAAGAGAGGTTTATTTGGTGCAAACAACTGTGCGATGCCTACATGAAAGGGATCTTTATGAAAAATATATTATAAAGTAATGCAAGGGCTGGTGTTGTGGTACAGCAGGTTAAGCAGCCCACATCAAAGCACAGGTTCAAGTCCCTGCTGCTCTGCTTCTGATCCAGCTCTCTGCTCATGCGCCTGGGAAGGCAGCAGAAGATGATCCAAGAGCTTGGGTCCCTGCCACCCATGTGGGAGACCCAGATGAAGCTCCTGTCTCTTGGATTCAGCCTATCCCAGCCCTGGCTGTTGGGAGAACAAACCAGGGGATGAAAGATCTTGTTCTCTCTCTCTCACACTCAGTCTTTCAAATCAATAGTAAAATAAATCTTTAAAAGGAAACTATGCACGGATTTCAAAAAACACACCAAAAATAAACTATCTTTTAATACCTGTTTCCATGAACTTTTTGAAGTACACTGGTAATCGGGTCTTAAACAAGACCCGTGGCATTGCTACCTCTTCCTCCATTTCTTCCTGACTTAGGAGGAGGTCTTGGTGGGATAATCCTCCTCCTACTCAGCAGGCTGAAAGCCCAGGGCTTAGTCCACTCCTAATCCCACGGCTGTGCAGAATCTTAGCCTCCCTGGCCTGCAGGCAGGCTTTCACAGCCATTGGGAGCTCCTGAGGGTTTCTCCCTGTGGTGAGTATGGTGATTTTTGTAAGCTATGAGCATGATGAACCAAACCAATCCCCTTCGCACTTCGGTCCAGTTGTCTCCAAGGATGTCCAGGGAGCTTTGCTATTCTCATCCAATATTTGCTTGCTTTATATTTTTAATTGATCCACTGAGCTGAATTCAAAAAGACCTGTAAACATCATTGGCTTTGACCTACAATCATTCTTTTAAAATGTTTATTATTTTCATCTGCTTGAAAGGCCGATAAAGACAGAGAGAGAGATAGAGATGGAGAGGGGGAGGGAGAGGGAGAGGGAGGGAGAGAGAGAGAGAGAGAGAGAGAGAGAGATCTTCCATCCACTGATTCAGTCCCCAAATGCCCACAACAGCCAGCGTTGCACCAAGCCAGAGTCAGCAGCCAGGAACTCCGTCCAGGTCTCCCAGGTGAGTGGCAGGGACCCAGGTACTCGAATCATCAGTGCTGTTTCCCAGGGTGCTGGGTTAGAAACAGAGCAGCAGGGAGTGGAGCCTGCACTCTGGGATGAGACTCACAGGCACCCCCACACAGCAGCTCAACCCGCTCAGCCAAAGCAGCCAACCCTCCACGATCACATTGAGAACCGAGACGCAGAGGGGAGTTCTGATGTCCGATGAAGAGGTCCCAACGGAATTTCTTCTTTCACTTCTTGGAGAAGGACAAAGGAGGTGGCGGAGGGGGGAATGGGATGGGGAGAAGGCTGGGGGTGGAACTCAGCCCTTCACCATTGTCTATTTATTTATTTATTTATTTGGACAGGCAGAGTGGACAGTGAGAGAGAGAGACAGAGAGAAAGGTCTTCCTTTTTGCCGTTGGTTCACCCTCCAATGGCCGCCGTGGCTGGTGCACCGCGCTGATCCGAAGGCAGGAGCCAGGTGCTTCTCCTGGTCTCCCATGGGGTGCAGGGCCCAAGCACCTGGGCCATCCTCCACTGCACTCCTGGGCCACAGCAGAGAGCTGGCCTGGAAGAGGAGCAACCGGGACAGAATCCGGCGCCCCAACCGGGACTAGAACCCGGTGTGCCGGCGCCGCAAGGCGGAGGATTAGCCTATTGAGCCGCGGCGCCAGCCACCATTGTCTGTTAAGGGAAGTGCATCTAGATACACGAGCAATAATTTATTCCTACGAGCCCTGGGAGCCAGCCTTCACCTGGATTTCTTCCTCTAAAACACGCCCCTCTCCCACCCCGGCTCCCTGGGGAGTGCACGGGGCCCCGCCCTCCAGCTGACAGCAGGCAGCCCCTACCTTCGTCACTGTTGTCATCCACCAGGATGATCTCCTTCAGCAGGTGCGTCGGCGTGTGGTTGACGGCACTGTGCACGGAGCGCAGAATCACCGACAGGGCCTCGTTCACGAAGATGAAGATGATGGAGATCTGCGGCAGCTCCTTGGAGTACTTGAGCTCCTTGCACCTGGGGGACAAAGAGCCAGGGCGGGACAGGAGAGTTAGCGGCAGCACCGCGGCACGCGCGTGGCAGCTGGCCTCGGCAAGGATTGCAGCCCAGGCCTTCCAAGGCGTGGATCTCTGGTTGCCTCTTGACCTCCTCCAGGCTAAGAAGTGAAAAATGAAACCAAGGAGGAGATTAAAGGACCCAGTCTCACTTTCCCCAATTTTTACCAAAGGCAATGCATTATATTCGGGCATGCATCTTACTCGTGGCTCCTGTGTCACCCAGGGGTGCCCCCACACTTCCCCTAGCCCTGTCTTCAGCGCACACCTGTGCAATTTCTCATTCCTAGCACCTGCGTTTGCATGCCTACAGCTTTCTTTACTGCCGCCTAGGCAACTGCCCTCACTCTGGGAGCTCTTATCTCAAGATCCCTGAGAGTGGGTGTACAAATAGCCCAGCTCCCTCTCCCCTTGACAAGATAACTCTAAATTCCCCCAGTGGGATTAAGATCCCATGACCCACAGTTGCAATCTGCATCACAGGTCTTCCCCTAGCAGTGGCTTTGTCACCTTTCAGGTAAACCACCTGCACGCGGGTCTAATGCTCCTATTTCCAATGACCTATCTCCAGAGTAACACCATCAAGACATCTACTGAACGCACAGGTGACCAGCAACAAACTAAGATCTCTGCTCGCAGGGAGCTGACTTTCTAGAAGAAATGAAACCACATGCCAACAACAACAAATAAAAGAAGTGGATTTTCCCACTTGCAACTATCATATCCTAACCCTAACCCTAACCTAACCCTAACCCTAACCCTAACCCTAACCTAACCCTAACCCTAACCTAACCCTAACCCTAACCTAACCCTAACCCTAACCTAACCCTAACCCTAACCTAACCCTAACCCTAGCTAAAGCCCTAACCCTAGCTAAAGCCCTAACCCCAGCCTCAGTCCTAAGCCTAGACCTAGCCCTAGCCCTAATCCTAACCCTAAACCTAACCCTAACTTAATCCTAAACCTAGCCCCAGCCCTAACTCTAGACCTAACCTAACCCTAACCCTAACCCTATCCCTAACCCTAGCTCCAGCCTTACCTTAGCCCTAGCCCTAGTCCTAATCCTAACCCTAAATCTAACCCTAACCTAATCCTAACCCGAACCCTAGTCTAAACCCTAATCCTAACCCTGGTCCTAGTCCTAACCCTAACCCTAACCCTAACTGACACACCCAAGCCTGGTTCAAGGTGTTCTAAAATCTCCCTGGGGGCAGGAGCCGACCTCCCCCCTGCAACCCCTCCGCAGAGATGAAACAGCAGCACCCTGCACACCCAGGCTGGCCTCAGGGGGCCCGCAGCGTTGGCCAGGGCTCCAGGTGACGTGACGGAAGATTTAACACCTGGGGAACGCACTGCGCAGCCCTCGGTCACAGAAGCACCTTGTACTCTCTCTGGGCAGCACTGCGGGGATTTTATTGCTACGCCTGGCCTAAGCCATTTCGGAAACAGCGAACAGAAACCTAGCAGAAAGGAGCACGGAGAGATATGCGCATTTTAATGCACCCTTCCCCTCTTGGAGGGAGACTGCACAATATATAGCCCAATGCGTGAGCCAGCAAAACAAAGGAAAGAGGACGGAGGGATGGAGTGAGAGGGCTGAGATGCTGAAGACGGAGCGAGAGATACGGCTGTTTTTTATGCGGAACAGCTCGGACTGTGTCGGGCCGTATTAATCAAGTAGGCAATTTTCGGAAGAAAATAAAGCTTTGTTACAATATACGCGGGTGTCTCCTGGAGGGGACCATCCAGGGACACATTGATCATGCAGGCTCATTTTTACTGTGTCGCTGTAAATCTACTTCTGGGGGTTGCCAGGGAGTTTCGGGTGGCTATTGAAAGGGCTTCCGGCAGTCGGGGAGAACCATGTCATGAACTGTGTGGTGCTTCGAGGGACGAGGGCACCCCAGAAGGTCGCCTGGACGAGGGCACCCCTGAAGGTCGCCAGGAGCCCCCTCAGCCCTCTGGAGCCCCCAAGTCTGGCAGGTGCCCCAGGACTCACCCGCTTGTACAGGGAGCACACACCCACTGTGCACACCCCAGTGCTGATCCTGCACCTGGTGTCTCACAACAGATTCTGGTTCTTGCAATGAAGAAGAAAGGCCAGACTGCATGGTACCCACACCAAGCCAGGGGCTCACACTGCATATCAAATACCAAGTTGGAAGCCTCTTGCCTTGAGCGGGCAACTCCACCTGGTGAAGTGAGACATGCGGGAGAGCGTTTGGGAGATGGGGGCCTCAGTCTTGCCCTTTCGGGGGACCGAGGTGGCTTTTCAATAAGTCAATAAATTTGAAAAAGCCGGCACTGAGACACAGTGGGTTAAGCCACCACCTGTAATGTCTACATTCCACATGAGCACCGGTTTGAGTCCTGTTTGCTCCACTTTTGATTCAGCTTCCTGTTAATGCGCTTGGGAAGGCAGCAGAAGATGGGGCAAGTGTTTGAGACCCTGCCACCCCTGTGGGAGACCCAGATGGAGTTCCAGTCTCCTGGCTTCAGCCTGGCCCAGCCCTGGCTCTTGTGGCCATTTGGGGAATAAACCAGTGGATGGAACATCTGTCTCTCTAGCTCCCTTTCAAATAGATAAACACATCTTTAAGAAATAAATAAAGCTGGTATCCCCAAGTATCAGAAGACAGAAGTGTTCCAGTGTACATGGACCACAGTCCCCTGGATATGCTGTTCACTCCCCCAACACACACACACACACACACACATACACACACACACACCCATCAGTCTCTTCATCTGTCAGGCTACAAAGCAAACCATGCCAGACTCAGCACCAGGATTCCTGTAAGCATCAGGTGATACAGAACCTCTGAGAGGCCCAGAAACAGGTACCGTGCTATCGAATGAGAAGGTCCAGTCTGCTTGGCTGGCTCCTCCCTTCTGCCTTCGGGCCTCTCTGTTCCCCCTGCACATCCACCATCACCTTGACGTCCACAGCGTCCCCTAGACCGAGGACACCCCCCCCATAGGACCCGCGGAGGGTAATTATTATGAAAACCAGCATCATTTCTGCTGCTTTACAGAGGCAGACTCTCTTTTAGTGGTGGGATGTCTTTTCTTTTTGTAAGATTTATTTTTACTTGAGAAGAGAGAGAGAGAGAGAGAGAGAGAGAGACTGGAAAGAGCAGCAACTCCTGTGCCTCAAAGAGCATGCTGGATGGATTCCCGCTGTGACCTTGTGACCCTCAGTGGGTCCCAACTGCAGGAGACCTGGATGTCCCACCCCCGCACACAGAGCTCCCCCACCCCCACCCCATCACCTCCTCATTCCTGGAAGGCACTCAGGCGCCCAGTGCCACAGTGGTGGGTGGCAGGCATGGCACCTCTGGATGGGAGAGGAGCAGCCAGCTCCAAGTACACCTTGCAGCCCGTCTCTGTAGGACTGCACATACAGAACTGGGGGCATTTCTTGCCTCCCCCTTGGCTCTGAGGGTATAAAAACCAGGTACGTAAGAGCAGCTGGGAGGCCGTGTGAATAAAAGAAGGGATCAGAAAATTGACAGACACCTGCAGAGAGGAGAGAGGACGATGAACCCCATCCACTGCAAAATATCTCAAAACCCATCACTGGGAGGTGCTGGGCGCCGCCTCTCTCTCAATCTCGATGCGGATCTGGGCCCCAGAAGTCACCAATTCCCTCTCAATAACTGGTCAGTAGGCAAGCAACAATCCTTGGTGCCAAAGAAGCTTACTGGCAGGAAAGCTATCTTCAGATGCAGATCAAGTTTCTCTTTCTTTCTTTTTTTTTTTTTTTTTTTTTTTTTTTTTACAGGCAGAGTGGACAGTGAGAGATAGAGAGAGAGAGAGACAGAGAGAAAGGTCTTACTTTTTGCCGTTGGTTCACCCTCCAATGGCCGCCGCGGCCGGTGTGTTGCGGCTGGCACTCCGCGCTGATCCGAAGGCAGGAGCCAGGTGCTTCTCCTGGTCTCCCATGGGTGCAGGGCCCAAGCACTTGGGCCATCCTTCACTGCCCTCCCGGGCCACAGCAGAGAGCTGGCCTGGAAGAGGGGCAACCGGGACAGAATCTGGCACCCCGACCAGGACTAGAACCCGGTGTGCCGGCGCCGCAAGGCGAAGGATTAGCCTAGTTAGCCGCAGCGCCAGCCTCAGATCAAGTTTCATCGATGCCCAAGGCCCAGTGGGGACTATGAAGAAATTCAAAACCAGGTTCTCCTGAAACATCGGGAAAAGGATGCTCAGCCAAGCTGCTCTCAGAACCATCAGAGGCAAATGAGCCAACCCAGTGTGGTCTCTGAGGCTGCGAGCCTCTTACTGCCCACTGGTCCATGAGTCTGTCCATTTTCCCACGTGCCTAGGATGCTCCCTTGAACTCCCACATGAGGGTAACCATTATTCCCCTTCCTCCACCCTTTGCCCCCCCAACGGCCAATGACTTCACTTAGCACCCAAGGTGCCCAGGATCTCACTTCACTGTTGGCGAGCTGGGCGGCCAGGCTGCCTCTGGAACCCCCCGAAGGAATCTCAATTGAAACACGGGGAGCTGGTGTTGTGGCACAGGGGGTTAAGCTACCATTTGCAGTGCCCACATCCCATATCAGGGCACTGGTTTGAGTCCCAGCTACTCCAGTTCTCATCCAGCTCCCTGCTAATGTGTCTGGGGAGCAGCAGATGGAAATGAATTGGGTTCCTGCCATACTACAGCAGACTGGGGCGTCACACCCCATCAGAACCTTGTCATTGCAGTCCCTCATCCTGTCCCTGTCACAGCCGAGGCGCTTCAGATCCACAGCCCAGGATGTCCAGAAGAACCATCTAGAACATGGGTAGCCACAGCACGATGATGTCTGGACACACACCCCTCCCCGCCCCCAGGACTTCCTCACTGCCCGGAGCCACTGTACCTGGACCACTGACAACGTCAACCATCATAACTACCTTTCCTTCTGTATCTGTGTTCCCAGGATCTCCGTGTCTTGGGGCTGTCTGTTT